GTAAATCACTTTTGTCTTAACTGCATGAGCTCAGCAGCTTGACTCGGGGGGTATCTGTCATTTCTTTTCAGAATGATGAGGTGTCCGTTTCTGCCATTCAAACGGAAACAGTCTCACAGGGCTCCACCACTGAGAAAGGCTAAGAAGGGCCATCTTGTTTTCCTCACGAGGAGTCCTTTTTTTCACTAGGGCCCTTATAGACAACATTGGTCTCCATCTGACCTTAACTACCTTCTCTGGACCTGTTTCCTTATCTGACTAGATCACTAAGGCTCCTTCCAATCTGAAGACTCCAGCAGAGGAACTGTCATAGAAAAGGCAACAGAAGTGCCCGGCCAGTGTAGCTCAGTGGCTCAATGCCAACCATGAACCAGGAGGTCACAGTTCAATTCCTGGTCAGGGCACATGCCCGGGTGTGGGCTCGATCCCCAGTGCAGGGCATGCAGGAGGCAGCCAATCAATGATTCTCATCATTGATGTTTCTATTTCTCTCTCCCTCTCTCTTCCTCTCTGAAATCAATAAAAATATTTTTTTTTTAAAGAAAAGGAAGGAAGGGAAGGAGGGAGGGAGGAAGGAGGGAAGAAAGAGCAACAGAAGCAGTTTGCAAGGGTCACTCTGACACTATGGTTTTCTGAAATCAAAACTGCACACCAGGTGTTTGTTGTTATCCTGGTGAATATCTGAGTCCTCCACGCACCTCCTATAGAACGAAATGAGTTTTTAATGCCAAAGAGAACTGTGATGCCAATAAGCTACTTTCAGTTTTTCCTTGGATTCCTGTATCCTATGACCCTGCGGCAGGGGGGACGTGCTCCCAGGATCCTTTCAGACGTGTTCTAGAAGTCTCTAATAAGTACCCATTGTTCTTCCACACACTTAACACTGACTCTCGGGCAACTTTTCTTTGATCATCAAAGATATTAAAAGTTTGTTTTTTAAAGAAAAACATGTTTTTCTGTGGAATCTTAGTGCTCTTGGAACTGCTTATGAAAAAAAGTAAGACGTAGAATAAAAATAATGTTAGTATTCAGGATATACAGACTTTTTGCTATCTAGCCCTGCGTGTTAATTATTAAATCATTACTATTTTGTATATTTTTAAAGAGGGAGGAACAAACAGATGCTCAGAAAATTGGGGCAATGTGCTCAAGGTCATGCAGCTGGCGAGAAGCATAGACAGCAATCAGCACTCACTGGATGTGCATTTCGGAGCCTTTGGCTTTCCATTAAAATAATCAAAACCATTCCCTTTATGTTTCTCAGTCCTTTAGAAGTCGAGACTTAAGGGAACTAACAATTGGGTTACTCTGTTCTATTATTCTTCACTATAAAACCAAAAATATGTTTTAATAATTCCAATACTCATAAATTCCTGAAGATTTCTTTTTGTCTCCATTATTGTTATTCTGAAAGTCTTGTCTACCACTCCCACTCCAATAAAAGTCTGTATTTTCTAAGACTGGCAGAAAAAAAGAACACCATGGTTACTATAATCCTTGTTCTAGGACTAAATTAAAACATTAATACATATGAACCATTTGGACACAGCTGGGCACACCACTGGAGCTCCATAAATGGCAGCTAATCTTTTTAGGCAGAAAAATCTTGGATTCATCAAGGAAATGGTCAAGTTACAGTCTTGTCAATTTCACCTCAGAGGCCCTGGGTGTGTTGTGCCTTAGCAAGCCATTGATCCCATGTAACCATCCAGAGCGTTAAGACGGAGGAATCAAGCATGGATGTTGACTTAAGAATCCACCCCCCGTCTTCCTAGAAGTGCAGTCTGGAAGGGTACTCTGAATAAAGGTGGAACCAGGAGCTGGTCTGGCCTGGCGTTACCTCCTCCTGCATTTTTGAGGCAGTCAGACGGGACTTTTCTGCCTCTAGGGTTTTCTCCTTCAACTGCCTTTGCATTTCTGCAAGCTCCCTGCGATTCTTCTCCTTGTAGTCATCCAGCTGGTTCTGGAGCTCCAGCGTTGATGTGCGGGACACCTCGACAATGTCGGCCATCTGGAAGAAGTGACACGGGGTGAGCCCACCTGCACGCTCCATCTGGGGTCAGGGAGCTAGCTTTGGGGCCCATCTAACAGGTCGCATCTCCTCCTCTTTCCCCTACAGCCTCTCCAAAGACTCTCCAAAGCACCTAGTCATGGGCTGACCAGGTGTAGCCACCTCTAACTAGGGAGCAGCTAGGCCCAGAATCCAGAGGGCCTGGCATAGTCTAGACCTGTTTCTCTGTATCTGGGATTCTCAACAAGCCCAATGAGCTGTTCCAGGGGGTCTGCATTTGTGCTTTCACATAACTGCAGGTTCCTTAGCTTTCATCAGCCCCCAGAGGGGCTGGATCCCACACCCTCTCCTCCCTGTGCTCCCTCCCTCCACTCTCTTGCCTCTTCCTGCTCCCTCACCTCCTTCTGCAGTTTCTCAATGGTCTTGTCAAGATGCCAGCGCTCATTCTCCATTTCGTTCTTCATTCTCCTTAACTGCTCCTTCTGCTCGGCCTCCTCTCTTAGCTTCTCGGACAACTGCTTCTGCTCCTGGGTGGCCCGACTCAGACTTGCCTGCAGATGGCAGGGAAAGGGCAGTGTTGTCGTCAACCCACCAGGTCAGGCACAGGGACAGGCGGCAGAGCGGGTTTCACAACCACACCACAGAGCGATCAGACCCGTTACATCAGTAACAAGGAAAAGGATCCAAGTAAAGCCCTCCCAGAGACACAAGGATACTGCTGCTTCTGAAGTTCAGGGGCCAAGCTGCCTTGGCCAAAAGCTTGTAGAGGCAGACAAAGGGTGCAAAACGGCCGAGGCTGCTGGGGGTGGCGATTCAGGGTAGTGTCTGAAAACCTGACTGCTCACGCTTGGAAAGTGAGGTAAAGTTATATATGAGTCTGGCCTGTGCGGCTCAGTTGGCTGAATGTTGCCCATGCACCGAAAGGTCACTGGTTTGATTCTTGGCCGGGGCACATGCCCAGGTTGCGGGTTCAATCCCCAGTCGGGGTGCACATGGGAGGCAACTGATAGATGTTTCTCTCTCACATTGATGTTTCTCTCTCTCTCTGCCTCTCCCTTCCTCTCTCTCTAAAAATCAATTAAAAAAATATTTTTTTAAAAAGTTATACATGAGGCCAACCTAAACCTACATGGCAATTTACATGTTGTGATCTACAGCGTTGCACCTAACATTCTTGAATTTGCTCTGCTGTGCAGATGATCGTTACAGCTAACAATGAATCTATGAGGACAGAGAACACGTCCACAGGCCAAGAGCCCACCTGGGTACAGGGAGCTGTAATCATCAGAATCCAGGGTTGGACTCATCCCCAGCAGAAAAAGAACTTGGCAATCCACAGGGTGATGACTTGATAAGTAGGAGGTGTTACAGGGAGAGGCACCAGTCAGAAAAGTGCACGCGTGGTTACCTAGTGACTCAGCACCAAATACTAGTAGTTAAAATGCAACCATCTTGGGGGGCAACATTTCCCCTGGGTTTCCCTGGATCTCTCATCTCACAACCTCACATACACTGAAGCCCTCATATAAAAAACATGCAATTCTAAAACAAAATCCTAAGGCAGTGGTTCTCAACCTTCTGGCCCTTTAAATACAGTTCCTCATGTTGTGACCCAACCCATAAAATTATTTTCGTTGCTACTTCATAACTGTAATGTTGCTACTGTTATGAATCGTAATGTAAATATCTGATACGCCGGATGGTCTTAGGCGACCCCTGTGAAAGGGTCGTTCGACCGCCAAAGGGGTCGCGACCCACAGGTTGAGAACCGCTGTCCTAAGGTATCTCGGGAAGGTCACAGCGGCTTCTGTAAATGGCTGAGGGCTGAGACCACTGGTGTGAGGATGTCAAGAAGAGACACAGCTCAGAATGGGGCAGCAGGACCCACACATGGGGGGTTCTCCGGAGAATGTCGGGAGGTGCTGAGGGCTGAGTGGGTTCGTACAGGTACCGCTGAGGCCCTGCTCAGTCAGTGTCCCTGCAGAGGCTGCACACCAGTGGTTTATGCGTTTACAGTGCTTCACAGTTTACAAGCTGCTGTCACGTGCAATAACTCAGGCATCTTGAAAACACTCCCAAATCACTTCAGGCACTGCTGGTTTGCATGTGAACAGCTCTGCTGGCCAACCACCTGACCTGGGGCCAAACAGCCACCTGTGAAGGCGTCCTTGCCCCTCTGGCTACATGCAAAAAATCAGCCAACCCAGCCGGCTGCTGGAGTTAATTGCTGTGGGGATCCAAAGTCAACAGAAGTGGCTGGGGGGAAACAAAGGTGCTAAGGAAAGGTAATCAGGAGTTCAGCGTGGGACCATTAGCAGGAGTGCTTCCCACCACAGCCCAGCTGGGCACACACCAGAGACGGGGTCAGAGCCTGGGATCTGCCTGTGGCTGATTCAGTGGTGTTAGGGCCAAGGGGGGCACAGGGTAAGGTGAGCAGTGTATGGTTCCATTGTGTGGGAGAAAACTCTCAGAAACATGTATCTCAAGATTTAAGTTCTTGAAAAACCAATAATACCCATACAGAGGGCAGTCAATGGCTTTCCATAGAACCTTCAGGATCCATCTCAACCCCTACACCTACAGGTCCCCCCAGCCTCTCCTTTTCTTCCTCCTGGATCCCAATCCCAGGGCTCCGGGTCAGCAGACAAGCCAGCCCCCGCTCTATTCAACCTCCATGTGATGGGTGCATTTCAGCTCCACCCCTGGCTCAACCCACCCAACTCTGCTCTCCTGCACCACTGGAGACCAAGGCTCACACACTGTGGGGCGGGGCCCAGCCAACACCCATCCCCTCAACACAACACACACACACACACACACACACACACACACACACACATTTTCTTAGAAGAATAGTTTTCACTAAATTATTTTAAAAATATTTCTTGTATGCTTGCCTCTCTTGTAAGATCTGTAAAGGCGAGGAATCAATTTTCTATCTGGGTATATCTCATAACCCAGACTCACTGTGAGGCATATAATAAAACTCATTGGTTGAAAACTAATATCTATTCCCAAAAGTGACCTAAAGACTTCTTATACCTGAGTCATCAGGCAAAGGTACAGTCCTCCTTCCTGAAAATGCAGATTCTGGCCCTTTCTGATGGAATCCACAATTCTTCTTGGAGTGGGGCCCGAAAATTTGCACTTGAAAGTGCCCAGTTAATTCTAATATACTCTGAAGTTTAGAGATGCTATTTAGCACATCTCTCTAGCTTTTCCTCTTTGGTTATTTAAGAAATAATGTTCCGATACATCACTGCTGAGAAAACATGTCCCAAATTCACATGAAACATGCCCCAAACGGCAACTTTGCATTTGGCAGTTAGGAGTGAAATGCTCTGTAGCTACCGTGAATATATTTCCAAGCCCCTTGACTAATACTAGGGTCTAAACTTGGGGAAAATTTATCAACTTGATAAATTTATTATTCATGAAGGTGCAACAGATCGCTAAAGGCAAGGAGGTTTTGACATGTAAAACGCTCCCTCCCAGGGCTAAGCCCCTGCAGGGGCCAGCCTTGGGAAGAGGCATGCAGAAGGAGGAGCTGCCTATCAGCTTCCAGATTTTAGAGAAGCCCTTGTGTTTTAGGGTGACGGTTCACTAACTTTTCACAGCACTAACTTTTGAGACCAGATAATTCAGGTTAACAGTGATAAGGTGGCCGGGCCCTTCTTAAATCCCTGCTGGGTTGTGTGAGGATGGCCACACACTGCACGAAGCATCCGCACCATCTCCCCACCTGGGAAAGCAGGCCCAAACACAAGTAACAGGTGAGGGATAACTTCCAAGGCAAGGACAGAGCAGGGGGGGCAGGGGGAGGGCAGTGGCTGCATTATCTGTAGGCCTTGAGGCGTCATCTGTTCTCTCCTCTGGATTGACTAGGAGCCTGGACTCACTGCTGGTGAACGACTTCCTTCCGCGTGAAACACCAAAGGACAATGCGATTGAGGGCCTGTCATAGCTGCGCCCAGCGCTCCGTGTGAGCGTGACACGAGGTGCAGATCTCTGTCCATACAGAGGACTAACGTTTCTCCTCTTTCTGTCCCCAACTGGCTCACAGACTGAAACCCCACATTCTGGCGGCTGGGCTGCAGCCATCACAAGTCTTAAACAGGAGCACAGGGAAATGGCCATCCACACAAATCACCAAACAGAACAAGAGTTTGTAAGAAAGATCTGGAAGGAAGGAAGGAAGGAAGGAAGGAAGGAAGGAAGGAAGGAAGGAAGGAAGA